CTTTGATATAGTAGTTGTTAGCTGATTGTACATGGTGTTGTTTGAGAGCCATCTTGGTTTACAGATGCCATATGCTTAATGAAATTTTTAGATTTCCATCTAAAAAAAATAGGGTTGTAGGTATAATATGCCCCTCTACTATGTCGTTTTATCAAATGTGCCCTCTACTATTTTTTACATCAAATATGCCCTTGTACTTTGGAAAAATTATCAAACATGCCCTTATGTTCAAATTTTCATCCAAAAACCGTTAACCACGATCAAACTTTGGTTTGGGAGACACAATCTAAAATACCCCTAATAATTTCACTTTAGAATTTTGTTTGGTTCTTTTGTATAGCCAAATGATTCTTATAATTTCACTTTAACTAGACCCGGGAAATAAAGTAGGGGACAAAACTGAAAAATTTCTCTCCCATTTGCCAATGTCGGGTCGTCTAAATCTCGGTTCAACCATGATTGATGATTTTTTCAATGAGAATTTTAACAGAAGGGCATGTTTGATCATTTTGTCAAAATACAAGGACATGTTTGATGTAAAAAATAGTAAATGAACATGTTTGATAAAATGACATAGTAAAGGGGCATATTATACATATAACCAAAAAAATATTACTAAATTTTGATGTAACACAATCGGCCAATGGGCCGAACATAATGCTAGTTAGAATTTAGAAGCATACAATCCAAAGGCTAAGTTTATATGGAAAACATAGCTCATCTCATAGAGCGTTGTAAATCAATATATTCCTAGTAACTAATCAAATTTTATACTAATTCATACCAAGTCAAATTAAATTAACTCATTTGTAATTCATAAATTAGAATACATACCTCATTCGATCAAACTAAATAGGCTCATGTTCAGTTCGTCCATAATAATTTGTTGTCTATTAGAACCGAATTTAATGTTCTCAGTGGCAGTATTAATGCATATTAATTATACCGTAGGAACTGAAAAATAAATATACAAAAAATTATTTTAAGTGGAAAAAATAGTCGTTGGAGAAAATAAGTTGGGAGAAACTCACGGCGAGTTATATTCCGTCTACCGCCACCTCTTCCTTTATCCCTTCTTCGGCGGCCACGACCGTGATTCTCGTCGTTGTGGCCTCTAGAGTCGAACTCTTCGTCTTCCAATACCGACGAAAAGGAGAAGATGAAGGGTTGGAAAAGGCAAAATCGGTTTTTTCGGTGGTTTTCGCCAAAACTTGAAAGAAGAAGACGGAAAGAACTAGTTATCATGTGTGAGGTCAAATTTTAAGCATCCGGGAAGACATAAAAACTAATTGGGCGAGATAAAGACCAATTGGGGGTGTAAACGACCCAATTCGTCTTTCTGTCGTCCCAATTATTTTAGTAGGTTTCATTGACATGCCTCTCATTTCATCGTTTTGTCTTCCGAAAAATCCAATTGGGGTGCTCATGCGTCATGCCTGAAGTTTTCTATTTACGCCTCTTTTTCTTCTCCTCCACCAACATCAGATAGTTCTCTCACACTAACCACAATCGACTATAATCAATTCACATCAACGTATTAATCATCATCGATTCACTACCTCCTAACATTAACCTTGAGAAATTATCATTGTAAGTGTTATGTGCTTTTGTGTTATTCATTATTTTTCTTACTAATATTATTCCGTCTTCATTTTTATTTGGACCTTAAAGTCCTACAATTTTACGATTCCGATTTTACCATCATTTTTTATTTTACGTAAAATCCCGATTTTGACACTTTGCCTCCAATATACGAATAGACTCGATCAAAGTAATAAGGCGCAAAATTAGACACTCTTTATCTATTAATTCCAGTAGGTTGAATAAAGAATTGACCTACTTCAATAAATCAATTAATGATTCCTCGTTTTAAGATAGAAATAATTTGTGACAGTTGCAAAAACCATAAACCTAAAGATCTGATACCCACCACTCTCCGTTGTACAACCAAAATTTTATCTCAAAAGGCATATGATTCAACCAAAAATTCAATTTTTAATCCTCCTTCTGCAACTACATTTATCGAGGAACTCCATTCTATTCGCCATGGATTGATATCGGAGTTGAAATCTTCTAGTCCCCCAGCCTAAATCCCCAACAATAAAACCATAGTGCCAAGATATACCTGAAGATTGATTTTCAATGGCAGCCTTGTACTGAAAAGTGAAAGGGACGCAAACTATTGCACGATGAACAAAATTTCGGAGGAAGTTATAAAGAGAAAAGAACAAAGATTAAAAGCACAAAATTTAAATTTAAATTGATAAATGCAAGGATACAACACGTATTAACATAATTAGTTTCTTCCATATTAGTCAATTACCAATTTACCTTTAGCGAAAATTAAGGAGAGAGCAAGGATTTAAAATCGAGAAAATTACATGAAACTCTACTATGAAAATAGAAGTATCAAGCACGATAAAAATACATACGGTAGACTTAGTGGGCTTGCTAGTTATGATGGAAAAGTTCTCTGATTTTCAGAGTTTAACTTCGTCTATGTTTTGTTTCAAAAAAGGAACCAACAAATTTGTTTACTGTAACTGGTTGTTATTGTTGTCTTTATTTGAAGGGACCCGGTTTCAAATCTTGATATTAATATTTTTATATGAAATAAATAATCTATGTGTAAAGGCAAAAATGTCCTTCCTACTTTCACTCTCGTTGAAGGAAATTTGAAAAGGAGAAAAAGACACAAAACTCTACCATATATTCCCTACTAGTTGGTGTCCGGCCCGTTGGCCGGAATGTTTTATTGCTATATATTGGATTGAATAGAGATGAAAATTAAATTAGTGATAGCTGAAATTTCATAGTAGATAGAGAGGTTAAAGTTTTTATCATACTCAAATTTTTACAATAATGAAAAAAAATTTTATCATCAAAATCTCGTGCGTAAGTGTATTACTTGACACACCTCCCCTTAACCTAGGTCAGCCCTGATTAAGATCGATGCACCACTCTCTCCTCCGTCCATCAGATTGCTAATCTATAAATACCCCATTATTTGTTGTAGAGAACTCAGATCATACACAGCACCTCAAACACAATATCGATCCTCGATGGCTTCCTTGTCCATTCCCACTACTGTTGTTGCCTTAGGCTTCCCTACTACTACAACTACTTTCGACCATAATCATTTTTCCAAATCACCCCAACTGATCTCTTGCCGCAAACCCCGTTGACGTTCCTTGTCTCCACCAACATGAATTTTTGCCCATACATTTGATCATGAGCTCAGTTTTAGGGTTATATGAGCTGCGAACTTGGAGAGAGAGAGGGAGAACTCGGAACCTGCAAATATCCCCAAATCAATCGCCTGACAAGGGGGGAAAAGGTGCGGAGAGGGAATCGCGGTGGGGGAGGCGGAGCAGAGTGAGAAAGGCAGCGATAGGATCGGACGACAGCGGCTCTACCAAGGGATTAGCGAGAGAGTCGATTAAAAGTGGAGTGTTTAGGGACAACGGCACCGAAATGCGATTTTAGCCGAATTAAAGCTTGGAACATGCTCGAGATGGAAGATGGGTCGGTTGCAAGAGAGGGGGGGCAGTCTCGCGAAGAGGAAGAGGGTCAATGTGAGAGCGAGAAAGAAGGATTGAGAAAGTTACTCTTCTGACCTCCGCAGTGTGCGAGCTATTCAGGAGGAGCTGACGTGGCCCATTTTTCCCTCTGACGTTTCCTTATATTATTGTGTAGAATAGATATTTGGCCCGACTTTTAGAAGTGCTTTTCGGTTTCAAAATCTGAAGTAGGGCCAAACACCTGTAAAAGTTCGGCTTTTGAAAAGGCGAAAAGCGCTTTTGTATAACATAAAAGCAGAAGTTCCAATTCTGTGAAAAGCTGTTTTGAAAATACAAGATTATCCTTACCATATTTTAATTTTATTTAAGAAAATATAATTTTTCTTCATTTATATCATTTTAAAAATAAAATAAATTATAAAATCATATTATTTAATATAAAAGAAATCTAACAAGATCCATTTCGACTACTTTTTATTGTTTAGAATTTTTATCCATATTTTATATTATAAGTTCTATATAGTCATTTTACACAACCTCTCATATTAAAAAGGGTTAATATTTTCGTATGGCCTGAACTTTGACCAAAATAAACATCCTGGCCAATCTTTTCGATTTATAACATCCTGGCCCGAACTATACACCAAAATAAACAATTTGGCCAAACCCGATGTTTGACCGTTAACTTGGACGGTCAAACACGTTGACTAACGGTCAACGCGCCACGTCACTGCCAAGTCAGAAGATCTGATAAATATTTAATTTTTTCGTTTTTTATTTTTGTTTTAACTAAGGTATTAGATGATTTTTTTAATTTATAATAATTTAAAATTAGGGAATGTGTGGAAATTGTGAATTATTTTAAATATTTTATGCTGACTTGGCAGTGACATGGCGCGTTGACTAACGGTCAACGCGTTTGACCGTTCAAATTAACGGTCAAAAGTCGGATCTGGCCAAATTGTTTATTTTGATATATAGTTCGGGCCAGGATGTTATAGATCGAAAAGATTGATCAGAATGTTTATTTTAGTCAAAGTTTAGGCCATACAAAAATATTAACCCTATTAAAAAGCACTTCTAATAGTTTTACAGCCAAACACTCAACTGTTTTTTTTTTAAAAGTACTTATCTAAAAGCTCCAGTCAGAAGCGGCTTCTGCAAAAGCTACCGCAGGGCCAAACTAAACTATTATTGGAGGATGTACAAGTTTAAGTTGTACCATAAAAGCATGTTTGTCACGCCGGCCGGCGTGCCACCGGTTGTACCGGATTCAACCGGTACCGGTCATAAAACCGGCGTGATACCACCGGTATGACCGGCATGATCGATATACGAATGTCTAAGTAAAATGACTTTATTTTAGAGAATTTAATTAATAAAATTTATTTTATTATTTATTTTATGAGTATAAAAGTTAAATATTGATGTTATTTGTTGGATTCAAGTATAAATGCTTAGGTATTGATGTTAAATATCATGTTTAAATATGTGTATTTATAATTTTATTTGTAATATTGACCGGCATGAACCGGCACAAACTGGTATGTGCCACCGGTTGAACCATTCCACTTGCTAAACCGGCACACTTGCATAAACCGGTTTGACAATATTGCATAAAAGCAAAAACTAAAACACTCATACTATTTATAATAGAACCCGGATGAATATGAATTAAGAAAAATAAATGTTGCAGAAGTAGCCGTTATTATTTCCTCCTCTTTGCTCTCCACAAATTTCCCACACAGGCTCCTCTCTTGTTGCATCACTTTTCGTACTTCTTTCTTGAAATTCTTCGCAAAACACGCAGAGGAGGCTTGTGCTCTCGCTTCATAGCCCTTCTTCTCAATTCCCGGCGACCGCCGGGACTTACTTCAGTTCCCGTCAGTATCAACCAAGTTCAACCTCACAAGTTACAACTCAAGACTTCTTCACCGACTTCTCTTGTAAGTTGTTAACTTGCTCCGTGATTCTCTAGTGTTTGCACTTCAGGCTCGTCCCGTTCCAGGTGATTTTCTTGTTGGAGGTTTTTGCCTGAATCTCCAGAAAAGGAAAGAATGAGTTCGTGCCAATTTCCAGGGTTTCTTACCCTTTTAAGCTTGGGCCGCGTTCTTTCCTTTTTTGCTTTCATGGAAAGAACTTGAATTCTAGGTCAAATTGCGGCTTCCAAATTGTTATTGTGAGGGCTGTTGTGTGAATTGAATTCTCCGAATTAGGAAGCCGATTAGTTTAGGTTTTAGTTCTCTGGATTCGAGGCTGAGTATATCACATGCTGAATATTGCTTAATTTTGAGATCAAGAAAATGAAGATCGATGGTTTCTCTGACTGCGAAACCGTTTTCCATGCTAGAGAGAAAGAAGTAGGCGATCGTAGTGAAAACGTGAAAGAGAAATGGTCGGAACCCCGGCGACGCCGGCGTCCAAGACCCGGAGAATTGTGCCGTCAACTAGTGGTGGCACGAGGGCTCAGGAGGAGAAAATTTTGGTCACTGTGAGGATGCGGCCGCTGAGCGGGAGAGAACAATCGTTGTACGATCTTATTGCGTGGGATTGTCCCGATCAACAGACAATCATCCACAAAAGTGCAAATCCAGAGCGTCCTACCACAGCCTACATGTTTGGTACTTAGTGTGCTGTAGTTTTCTGTGTCTTTACTGCTTCAGCGGAGCAATTCAGCTTCTAACATTGTGTTCCTTTCTTCTTCTTTCCGTTTCTCGTCTGCAGATAAGGTTTTTGATCCTTATTCAACAACTCAGAAGGTGTATGAACAAGGAGCTAAAAGTGTTGCTTTGTCAGTCCTTACTGGAATTAATGGTGAATAATTTAATGTACTCCAGCAGACAGCCGTAAAGTTATTGCCTAGATAAGAGTGTTCTGTTTATCTATGCAATGGGTTAGTTCTTACTAGAATGTTAATGCTTCTGATGTCTCTAACTTGTTTCCAGCTACCATCTTTGCTTATGGCCAAACCAGTAGTGGAAAGACGTTCACCATGAGAGGGATCACAGACCATGCAATCCATGATATCTTTCAGCACATTGCGCAGGTACGCAGATGTTAACCAAATTCAATATCTACTGTCCTGTTCTGGGTTTTTGTCCTCTTCAATGATACCATAGAAAAGTTAGCAGCTATGATCAGTGAAGTACAACTGTGATACCCTTATCAGGATATATACCAAACTAGGGATTCATGATCTGTCAGTCTGTCCGTCAAACTAATGTCGATCTGATTAGGCCAATAATGGAATGATCAGTCATCATCCTCCTTGTGTTATTCTAAATTTGAGCAGATTCAGGAGAGGGAATTCTCCTTAAAAATATCAGCCTTGGAGATTTATAATGAGACTGTTGTAGACCTCCTGAACCGTGAATCAGGTCCCCTTCGGCTTCTGGATGATCCTGAGGTATGCGCGCTGTGATATTGGCTGAAACAATAGAGCAACATTATTCTTTTAGAATTGAATGCTCGAGTATTTCTTATTGTTTATGGTTTCCATGGAGAACAGAAAGGAATCATTGTTGAAAAACTAGTTGAAGAAGTGGTCAATGATGGTCAACACTTGAGACACTTAATTGGAGTTTGTGAAGGTAACTACATGGTTCGCATTCTTTTGACAGAGAACGAGCCAGCTTGCATATTGGATTTTGTATGTATCTATGTGAATAAGAATAATAATCATGAATGTAAATGTGCAACTCATCATAAACTTATTGGCATATGAAACTGCTACTTCAACTCTCAACTGAAAGTTCTGGTTTTACAGCTCAACGGCAAGTTGGAGAAACTGCCCTCAACGACAAAAGCTCGAGATCACATCAAATAATACGACTGGTGAGCAAAATTTATGAGATTTATTAGGGTTTGATGATCCGACTTGTAATTCTGCATGTTATCACATTGATCAAATACTACCTCCTGTTTCTCTATGTGATCTAATTGCTAATTCTGCATGTGATAAAACAATACTTCCTCTAGTTTTCTGTTTGTCTGTCAGTCAAATGATGACATCAGTATGCTTTTAAATCTTGCAATTTCTCCATTAGCCAATCGCATTTCTATATATTAACTTACTGTTTCTTTATGATAGACCATTGAGAGCACTTTAAGGGACAAGTCGGGCCATGTTGAATCGTTCTTAGCAAGTTTGGTATGTTGTAGCATTTTGTGATTGACCATAAGCTTTTAGATATCAAAATTTTCACTGTGGTGTATTGCAACATCTTAGAATCTTGTGGACCTTGCTGGAAGTGAGCGTGCATCTCAAACAGCTGCAGATGGTACAAGACTTAAAGAAGGTAGTCATATAAATCGCAGCTTGTTGACCCTCACTACAGTGATCAGAAAGTTAAGGTAAGCTAAAGCCAGAATGGAATTATGTTTACTTTTGGTATTATTTACTAGAATCTTCACTCATCTCCATCAGTTACTAATCATATAAGCATTTCTTTTTGAGGAAGTAGAGATGATACACCAGTTAATGTTCTTGGTTCTCCCCCAATACCCCTCTCTGTGTTTATTGTTACTTCTTTCAACTTTCTGATCCTTAATATGTTTGCAGTGGAGGAAAAAGAAGTGGTCATATACCATACAGGGATTCAAAGCTCACTCGAATATTGCAGCATTCACTGGGGGGTAATGCACGCACAGCAATAATCTGTACAATCAGTCCTGCCTTGAGTCATGTGGAGCAAACAAGAAATACTCTGTTGTTTGCAACTAGTGCCAAGGAAGTAACCAACAATGCTCAAGTGAACATGGTTGGTTGTCTAACCTATTCTAGTTTTCCTGCTTGAGCTTCCCGAACCTTGATCCATGTTAACATCGATGGTGTCTGAAAGTCAAGTTTAGGTCGTGCTTAGCTATTTCCTATCCAATGCATAATCGTGTCATATGTTGCCTTAGAAATTGTAAAGTCTTTAGAGAGGAACTTAAATAAAGTCTTTGGACAATTTGCTACTAGTCCGTTTTCACTCCAAACTGATGATCTAATCTTCATGTCCTCCCAGATAATTTCAGACAAAAAATTAGTTAAACATTTGCAGCTGGAAGTAGCCAGACTTGCGGCAGAGCTTCAAACACCAGAAACTTCTTCTGTTGCACAACTGAAAAATAGTCTTGTGCAGAAGAACCTGAAAATCGAGAAGGTATTTGAGAAAGATAAACTATCTTTTTCCATAATTGGTGGCCTGTTAACAGTCTCCTGACAGAACTTTTTCTACAAAGAGAAATCTTACTGCATACAAACAGCAACTCTGAAAATAACTCATGTTTTTCTCGATAAAGTTGTAGTCTTTACCATGAATTTAGTGCTGATTCTTTACTAGCCTAATGAATCATTCCCAATTCTATGAAGTGTATCCAAAACTAATATGACATTAAGTCCCTTTTATCTTCATGTTTGACTCATTTAGGTTCTGATTTTTCAGCTGGAGAATGAATTAAGAGAGGTCAAGCGTCAGAGGGATCTTGCAGAATCTCAACTTGAACTAGTAAAAAAATCACATAAGGAGCCAAAGGTAAGCTTCTTGAGATCTTGTATTAATTATATATAGTTACAAGTTCCAGTGTGGTCACTAAAGTGTTCCGCTGCAGGGTCTAAAACAAAGTGGACCATCTTCACAAGTAGCCAGAAAGCTTCCGTTCTCTGTAGAGGGGCAAAAAAGAAATGCTGTTGGCAGGCAGGGTACTTCTGTAAGGAAGTCTGCCACTTCCAGTGATCCATCCATTCTTGTTCAGGAAATACGAAAACTTGAGCAGCAGCAGAGACAGCTTGGGGAAGAAGCAACTCGGGCATTGGAAGTGCTTCACAAGGAGGTTGCCTCCCAAAGAACGGGGAGCCAAGAGACTGCTGAAACCATAGCAAAGATGCTTTCCGAGATTAAGGATATGCAAGTTGAAAGCTTTGTTCCTGAGGAATCTATATTTGGAACGAAGGCCAGCAGTCTGAAAGAAGAGCTCACCCGATTGGATTCGCAAGAAAGCACCATTGCCTCGCTAGAAAAGAAGCTTGATAATGTTCAGAAGTCCATAGACATGCTGGTCTGCTCATTCTCTGGCCGTGAGGAGACTCCAGAAGTGAAGGCACAACTAAGGAAGAAAAAGACTCTACCTTTCACGTCAAGGAACAGCACTAATGTACATCTAATACGTTCTCTTTGTTCACCTTTGTCGTCCTCTTCCCATGGTGGTGCAGTAGATAATGAGGTCGAGAACAGAGACCCCAAGAGAAGTAACCTGTTGGTTAGTGGCAATACCTCACATGAATGTACTCCGGTGAAGGCTGCTGGACGTACTGGTAACGCATCATCTAAGGAAGGAACGCCATCCTCAAGGTCTTCGAAGTCGGTTAGTGTGAAGAAAATGCAGAAAATGTTCAAGAATGCAGCTGAAGAAAATATAAGGAGCATTCGAGCTTATGTCACTGAGTTGAAAGAAAGGGTGGCGAAGCTTCAGTACCAGAAACAGCTTCTAGTTTGTCAGGTGAGCTTGCAACGGATTCCATCGTAATATTCTGGCCTTTTCATCGTAATTCTAATTTTTACTTTTCTTATCAAAATTCTGAATAATGTTGCGTGGGATTCCATCAGGTTCTAGAGCTAGAGGCAAATGAGGGTATAGCAATGGAAACAGATTATCTGGATGAATCTCCGGTGGCATGGCGCTTGGTGTTTGAGGAGCAAAGGAAGCAGATTATAATGTTGTGGCATCTGTGCCATGTTTCCATCATACACCGCACTCAGTTCTACTTGTTGTTCAATGGAGATCCGAGTGACGAGATATATGTGGAAGTTGAGCTCAACAGGCTGACGTGGCTGGAGCAGCATTTTGCGGAGCTCGGGAATGCAAGCCCAGCACTGTTGGGGGATGAGCCTGCTGGCTCGGTGTCTCAAAGGTAAAATGTGTATATATAGCAGGTTTTTTGAATCCTGAAGTAGTCGTTTTTTTGAATCCTGAACTAGTTGCTGTTTGTTTGTTTTGTTTTGGGTTTGATGGTGGCACAGTATCAAGGCTCTGAGACAAGAACGGGAGGAACTAGCGAAGCGGGTAAGCTCGAAGCTGGGAGCTGACGAGAGGGAATCGCTGTATGAGAAATGGGACATCCCACCAGGAGGGAAGCAGAGGCGGCTGCAGCTGGTAAATAAACTGTGGACGGACCCGCTCAACATGGAACACGTCCAAGAGAGTGCAGAGATTGTGGCTAAGCTCGTTGGTTTCTGCGAATCCGCCGGAGGTGCAGGAGGGTATGTGAGGAAGGAAATGTTTGCTCTCAATCTTGTTCACCCTGCTGACAAGAAGTCATGGATGGGGTGGAACTTTATATCCAACCTTCTCAACTTGTAATTCAAGTCGGCAAGGGAAATAGGCAACCAGCTGGTGTGGTGGCTAGAGGGGAGCTGAGTAAAGTGATGGCTAGCTTGTAGGTTTTGTTTATGAAGTTTGTATAGAGATAGAGATTGACTGAGACTCAGGGCCAGGGGATTGTTAAGAGATCCTATTCCCATCAACTAATGGTTGGAGTCGTTTCAAATTCCAGATTTTTTTCCACTAATCTTCTGGGAAGGTAAGAAGAGAGGTGCCATCCATCTCCTTTCTGGCTTCAATTTTGGTTCAACGTTCCTTCGAAATTGAAGAACTAGAAAAGAAACTATGGGAATTCAAGTGGGCTGAACTAGTGTGTTTGTTTAGGTTTGCTAGATAACGGAGTAAATACATAGGCTAACTCCAATGGAGTCCCTATAAATAGGGATGTCTACATAAATGGAGTAGTGTCATCTCCAATGCATCCCCACAATTTGGAGAAAGTCCCCATAATTAGGAAAAATCTGCAAAAATATCCCAAATTTGGAGATGGAAATGGAAATTCCCCCAAAACGGGGAGGAGCGTGTTGCTGGGTGGGACAACCGCCACCTGGTTTTTTTTTTTAATATGTTAGGGGTTAGTTGATGTTTAATTAAGGGATTAATTAGAAGTTTAATTAGATCAATAACTGCACAATCAGCAAGAAAAACCACAAAAATATCGTGGGAGAGCATAACTGCAAAATCAGCAAGAAAAACCACAAAAATATCGTGGGAGAGTAAAACTGCAACAACAACTTAAAATAAAGGAAAAGGAAAAGGCATTCATATGTTCTTACAAGCAATGAAAGAAAAAGGGTAAAAAAGGAAAGAGGGAAAAATTGATGCATAATATGTGCTCATGTAATCTAGCTATGGTGCTAACACCATAAATGGTAATACATGCTCAAACGACCGAGATCGTGTCACAAGGTCCGGAGCTCGTATGGAGGGATGAGATTATAGGGCTTGGGAGAAGATTAAATGGTGCATTTAATGCTCTCGCAAACTTTCTCCTCTCTCTTGTGCTCTTCCATGGTTGGAGAAAAAAATCAACATTTCTCTCATTCTTTGTCTTTCTTCCTCTCTCTTTTGCTCTCCCATGAAACCAGTATTCTGTCACGGTGTCACCGCAAACCATCTTCGTCTTTGCAATACTTCGGTTGTCGACTACCAAAAAAAGGGTCGTAGGAGTGTTGAGTGGTGGTCGCCATCTTTCATCTTCCAGCAACCACTTCTCTTATGCTCCGTTGCTTTCTCACACTCAAAGGAAGAGAACCATAGGTTGAGGGATCTGCGAAGAAGGCAACATAGGAACAACAAGTTCGGAGGAGTGGGATTAATATAGTCTGGGCGATATGAGTATTAATCTGTGAAGCTCCTTCTTGGGATATGATGATAAGACACTTGTAGTCGTGAGTACTAGTTGTAGTAACCATAATAGTTATAACAAGTTGAATACTAGTTCCAACAAGTTGAATACTATGTGTAGTAAGCATAACTCTATCATAATCGAACTCATACCATCATATAGTTTCGGAACTTCTCCTGCCATGGATTGTTTGTGAAGAAGACTATGTATTGAGGAACAAATATTACAAGTAGACAAAGAAGTACTCAAAAACATCAAAGAAGTATTCAAAAAATGTCAAACCAGTATTCAAAATCTTCCAACAAGTATTCTCATCTCTGAGGTCAAGAAGTATTCCACATAAATGAACTAGCATTCATCATTCACAAAACAAACTAGTATTATATATATTTGAACTAGATTTTATCTTTCAAAAATTAGTATTTTGTATATTTGAGTATTTTGTATGTTTGAACTAGTATTCATTGTTCATAAACTAGTATTTTGTATGTTTGAACTAGTATTCATCGTTTAGAAACTAGTATTCTTTATGTTTGAACTAGTATTAACCGTTCAAAAACTTGTATTCTGTATGTTTCAACTAGTATTATGTATATTTGAACTAGTATTCATCGTTCAAAAACTTATATTCATTAGATTAACAACTAGTATTTATTTGAACACTTTTAGTGCAAGTTATATTCAGAAAGGTAAGATATACTTAATACATTTTCAATTTGTATTCAATACACAAAACATGTTGATGACACGGTATTTATAGTATTTGTCACTCCCATTCTTAATATATTTTCCCCCTTCTATCTAAATCATAACTATTTGATCAATGGGGCTTTAATAGACCTAGTGATGAGGTTTCAAATTTGTGTACGATGCACCCTCACTTCTATCCTAACAATGCCAGGTATATTAATACTGGGGATAAGTAAAGTGGCTCGTACATATTCCACGGGTCATTGTATCCTAGACTACTTAGGTTGTTATCTTGTTGACCTATTACTTAAGCAAGTGGATAGCTAGAGATTAATGAGCGAGAGGACAATATGAGAGAAGAGGTACTTGGGGTGCCTCTCTCGCCCTAATCGCTAGAGATAACTTGCAAAATGATAGAAGGATGGTCCATGGTAATCCAGGTGCGAAGATCGCTTATATGAGGATTGGCTCAATTGTATTGCAAACAATCCCCCTCCTACCCTGATCCACTAGTCCACTGTCACTTCAGCTAGCATCATGGTGCATGGATATAACCTATCTCCTTTAAACGGGTTCTACTCATCCACACACTAGGCCGTTAAGTCGATGGTCACACACTCGACCCTAACATTGCCTAGGTGGATGCCTAGTAGGCAAGGGTATGATCTTCTCGTCCACCATACTAGACTCCTAAATCAACCATCCAAACCAATCATGCCAAGACCGCTCATTCCACACATATCCTCGATCAAACCCTAACTAGTGCAATCATATATAACACATGGAGAGACAAATCTGAAGAATAACAATCATAGATGGAGCATAAAAACTCCAGGCAAACAAAATTCATCCATAAATAACAAGAAAGAGAATGATAAATCCCTTACCACCTAAGTTGCAATAAGGGCAAATGAGATACAAACAATCCCACACTACTTGATGTGTAGAAAGTACAATCATTAAATAGACATAGATAAATAGGTTCATAACCATCCACAAATCAAACCAAAATACCCAATTACATATCAAACCCTAAGACTAAACCCAAAAGTACCTTGAGGGACTACCCCCATTAAGAGGGGAAGAAGGGACATGAATAGTAGGGTTGGCTATTTGGTCCGGGTTTTTTTGGTTTTACCTGAAACCAGACCGTATAACCGGGACCAGATAGTAAACAATCCAACCCAATTTTTGGGCTCAGATTTGAGGTAAAAAATCGTTCGGGACCGGATCGAAAACCGGATAAGAGAGCTCAACACCCAAAACTTAAGGGTAATTTGCACAAGTGGTCACAAACCTTTGCATTTAGTACAAAACTTAACCAACTCCTCATACTTTCAGGCCTTAGGCCACTCAAATCCCCACAAGCTCAATATAAAATCAAGACCGAATTGGGTCCGGACCGGATAAAGACGGACTGTATCCAATCCAATCTTTGGTCCTTATATTTTCGAAAAGACCGGACTAAGACCGGATCAATTTTGGTCAATTTAACCGGATTGGACCGTATAGCCACCCCTAATGAATAGAGGGGAAGAATTGAGAAAGAAGGGTCTTCTTATGCTAGAAAATTCTTCTCCAAAACTCTTCTCCACTTCTTCTCCAACCTTATACTTCTCTCTCTAACCTCACACTAGAATCATAAATCTATCAAAAGTCACTCTACACAAGAGGAGGAGACACCTATTTATGGAGTTCTAGAAATGCGGGCAGGTTCGCAGTTGAGCGACTCAAGATCGCGGGCATGAACTTCCTCTAGCGACCAAAATCTTTGAACGACGTTGCACTGGGCGACTCGAGAAGGAAAATCTTGGCTCGACTTCGCGGTTGCAACTCAATGTTGTGGCCGCGATCTTTCTCACGGTCTCGAAGACGAAGGCCTATGATTCGGGTGTCTAGAGCTTCTATCATCCTCCGTATGTTGCTTCCCCAAGTTCATGGTTGTCATCTCCAAGATTGAGCACTTGATCTTTGGCTTGAGGTCGCGATGTTCTGTTGGACTTCGTGGTCTTAGGGATCCCGACCCTGATCTTGGCTCCTTCGACCGTGAACTCCATTTTGGCCCTTAAACTCTACACTTGTGCCCTATTTAGGTGCGTAAAATGCAAGTATTGTCGAATGCATCCTAATACGACATGAAATTCTCTAAGGAAAGAATCTGGGATGTAAATGTCAATATATTGACCATGGAGATCAAAGAATGATATGAATACATGGAGGTTAAATAACATCAATTTAGGTATTGTCACTTAGTTTTTTACTCTTTGAAGTCTTCTTGATATATATTTTTGTTTATGGTTTTCAAAGTACAAAGCAACCTAAGGAAACTTGAACTCATTTTCATATGTATCATGAAGTCATTCTTATTTATTTAAAAAAATTATATGCCAGCTGTTTTATAATCGGTTTTATGCCGGTTAATCAATGATTATCCGATAAATCTTAAATCTCTCACTAATCCGGATTGTTGCCTGGTCCGGGTTTGACAACACTAATAAAAATCATAACAATTAAAACACACAATTCAACAATCCTAACAAGCTAACATTGCGACTAATTCAGTGAACATAATGCATTGTAGCGAGCTAAAATAAAAATATAATATACATATCTTAGCTTGTATTGATGAACTTAGCTTCTCATATTTATATGAACTTACAACTAGCTTTTCTCTCTCTTCTTCTCGTGTCAAATACAAATTGTTTATAGTCCATTTTTCGACAATTTTTCACCGTTGCACGCTATCATGCGCGGGGTCGTGCATAATGAACTTGACTGGCCGTGGTTTAACTCAGGATGCACACGACCGCACATGCTGAGATAAACTTAACTTGTTTTGCTTAGTATACGCGACCTCACATATACTGAGGTAAAGTTAAGCTAGTTGTACTCAGTAAATGCATTCTCGCACATCTTTTTCCCTTGCGTAATACATTTTTCTCCTACTCTGAATTGTTTTATTTTTCACAATATATGATAATTCTCATGCAAAAAGCGCTCAATTTTCTCTGATTCATAGTTATTAATAAACTCCCACTTGTAATTAATAAATTCATTTATATACAGTTATATACGCTAATCCTCCAATAATATATGGTAGAGTTTTGTTAACTTTTCTCCATTTCAAATTTCCTGCAACGAGAGTGAAAGTAGGAAGGACATTTTTGTATTTACAATTAAATATTTATCTCAATAAAAATATCAATTTGAGGATTCGAACCCGGATCTCTTAAAACAAAGACAACAATCACAACCAATTACACTAAACAAATTTGTTGTATCTTTTTTAGTACAAAGCATACACAAAGTTAGACTCTGAAAATTGGATGAATTTTCCCTCATGATTACCAAGCCCACTAAGTCTACCGTATATATTTTTATGGTGCTTGATACTTCATTTTTCATAGTAGCTAGAGTTTCATGTAATTTTCTAAATTTTAAATTTTTTGCTCTCGCCTTAATTTTTTTGCTAAAGGTAGATTGATAATTGGCTACCATAGAAGAAACTAATTATGTTACTGCGTGTTGTATCCTTGAAATTTTCAATTTAAATTTAAATTTAGTGCTTTTTAATCTTTGTTCTTATCTCTTTTAACTTCCTCCGAAATTTCCTCTATCGTGCAATAGTTTACGCCCCTTTCACTTTTCAATACAAGGCCGCCTTTGAAATCAATCTTTTGGTATCTCTTGGCACTACGATTTTATTATTCGGGATTTAAGCTAGGCAAGTAGAAGATTTCAACTCCGATATCAATCCATGACAAATAGAATGGAGTTCAATAAATGAAGTTGTAGAAGGAGGATTAGAGATTGAATTTTTTATTGAAACATATGTCTCTTGAGATAAAAATTTGGTTCTACAGCAGAGAGTGGTGACTATTGGACCTTTAGGTTTATGGTTTTTGCAGCTAGGTCGATTCTTTATTCAACCTATTGGAACTAATAGATACGGAGTGTCTAATTTTGTGTCTTATTACTTCGATCGAGTTTATTAGCATATTGGAGGTAACCCTAATTTTGTCGTTTGCTCTCAAGTTTTATTGGCCCCCTCTTAATTGAGTTGTTAGTATATAGTTGACTTGAATCAACAACTCTCTCCATTTCTTTTTGATTAGTGGCATATTGTTCCTAAGGAGTGCATCGAACCCTTTATGTAGGATTGTGAGGTTTAAAATTGTGTTTCACACTATCGATGGCGTGTGGGAATTCCAATGAGCTTTTGTACTCTATCTTTCTTGACAATCAACTAACCAATAGCATTTTAATTGGGGCTTAATTATCATTATAAAAATGAGATCAATCATTTTTATATTTTATATTCTTATTTCTCCAAAAGTTCGACCTATATATTTTTTCTTTATATATCATCTAGATCGAAGAATTGTCAATAAAATTAAATGGATTGATAGACTTAAATATAACATAAAAATACAAATAATCAAATATAAACATTCCGGCCAACGGCCGGATTATAAGCTAGTTAAGTAAGAAGATCCAAAAAGCATTCCCTGCATCAGCCAGGTAGTAATGGCGGCAGGAATATAGGAAATAGCAAGAGAGAGGGGGCAAAACATCCGCCCTGTCCAACACAAAAAAGAAAAAAAAATGTGGCGGTGGCGAAGGAAAGGAAGGAAGGATGTCGCTGGTGAAACGGAAATGACAGCGGCGACATGACAATTGAGAACAACACGGGAAAGGCTAAAATGCCGTTTGGCGTCCGTCTCTCCCACATTTCAATATCAACAATTCCTTTTCTCGATTAAATCGTCCCTTCTTCTTCAGTTCTTCTTCTCCACTTTAATTGCCGTATTTATTTGTTTTCTGCTACGCTTGTTTTATTTATTTATTAATATAATTGTTACCTCGCCCGACTCTCCTCGTCGGCACGCACAAGTGGAAAAGAGTAAGAAAAGACAAAAACCCACGTCTGGGTGCGGGAGCGCATTTTTCTCGGCCTCTGCAGACTCTCTTCCGTCATTCCCGGCCCGGCTTCCTCCCCCAATTTTCTTCTGTAATTCTCCCCGCCGGGATTGCAAGGTACTTCCCGCCCTCCTTCCTTCTTCTTTTCTGCAGTCTATCTTCTCTCTTCGGCCTGCGCAGAATCTCTGCTCGATCTGTCTGCATTTTCCTCTTTCCTTTCTATTTCTGTTATTCTCTTCTTGCCTCTTGCATGCACATCCTGTAGAGGCGCAAGTCTTTCGCAATTCGGCTTCTGATCTTGAAACTGCCGTTGTTTTCATTGCTTTCTACTTTATTCGCTTTTCTCCCTTCCGGATCGGCTTCGATTTAGCAGCTAACAGAAAAAGAAGTAGAAGAAGAAGAAGAAAGAAAAAGATGGCAATAGCCCTAATAAGTAGATATTCCCTTGCTTGGGGAATGGCTGAGGAAGATTGCCAGAATTATTTAACTTTGTTGCTGGGCGACTTGGAGTTGAAGATAGTCAAGAGTTGGTAGGTATAGTTATATGCATGGTCAAAATTAGCAAGAAAAACAACACCTAGATGTAGCGCACAAGTAAAGAACGGTTGTTTTGTGGTTCAAGGAATGGGTCAATACTCGACAATTACTTTGTTTCGTGCGTTTGCTGATTCAAAAAAGTCTTTTGGAGTCGTTTGGATGATGAATTCTAACGGATCAATTTGACTCAATGATATCGTTTTGAAACAATTGTGTCAAATTGCTCCATTTGGCAGTATACATTTTGGACGGAGCAATTTGGCTTGGGGAATTTGAATTTACTCCTTTCGAAAGGTAATTACAATTGCTTGGGCCGAGAGGAGATAATTCGAATCGACTCATTTTAAATGATTTGTTTGGTAAAATGAGACAATTGGCAAAATTATATTGTTTTCCAATTGATCCATCCAAACGACCCATTAATTTCTTAATTCGCGGATGAAACATAATGCAAATAGCAGCAGCATATTGCATATAAGGGGTATGGTACTGTGTGCAAAGGGAAACTCATCCACCCTTTGTTACTCTTTCTGTTTGCTGACTCTTTCATTCACAATTCATAATTGATGTTGCGTCATAGTCTTTGTTCTGCATTTGGACAACGTTTATTGGACAAATCATAGTTAGTTCTTTTTTCCCTGACTACTCTGGCTTAATATTTGTTCTTCTGCAGCTCCGATGAAAGGAGGTGGCTTCAAAGTGAAAGGTCGAGAGTTAACTCTTCTCCTAATCGTGCTTGCATGCACAACCATTATTATGCTGTCATGGGAGAGAACCCCGCTTCTTTCTGCCTCCCTTCCTGCTAATGATCCCTTACAGACATACTCGGGTACTTTCTTTTAACTCATGTGTCGTTCATACCAAGGATGCAGTTTGCAGGTTACTTAATAACTTAACATTATCGCTTATCAGTGTCAGTAAAGGGGTTCTTTTGTGTTCCACATAAATAGGTGTCTATCCCTTGAAAAGTTTTTCAAACATCTCGCTCAGTAAATGCATGTCTGGGTGGCTTGGTTTCTATATTCTCTTTGCGTCTGTAAATGGAGAACAAGTTATTCCTTAGTCAAGTTAAGCTTTTGTGATAGTTTCTGCTCCGATTTGGAATGCTAACAGTTCATTCTAATTGCTTATACATCCACCTTACTGAATGAACCTGATGGAGCCTGTATCTATCTTTTGCTTCCCTAAATTACTCCAATACATAGTTGTATCATGTGTCCTCCTTTATGGTACCATTCTTAAAAGATGGTATTACTTGATAATCATACCATCTCAATTTGCTTTCCTTAATGTTTTATCTTAAGTTTGAATTCAGGTCGATGATTCGGAGGTTTGTATTAAACTCTGGTTTGTGAACATGTACTTAGAGCAGTTTCCTGTCAAAAAAAAAAAAAAAAAAAAATACTTAGAGCAGTTTGTAGTGAAATTCTTCTATTAGAGATATAAGCCACATACCAGTAGAATTTGAAGAAGGAAACTAATCGTATGCTGGATGAAAATCCAAGCTTCACTGCTTGAGGGTGGAAATCTAATTTTCCGAAGAACATCTACATCAATGCAAATGCAAAACCAATTGCATATGTTTCCTCTATTACCACATCACAATTTATGCAATTCATCTCATCTTAATTTCATTGCACCTACAACAATCCAATTCACTTGCAATTGCATATGTGGTGGGTCCAAGTGATTTTATAATAAACAAAAATAAAAAAATGAAGGGAGAAATGTATAAATTATTCTTTTTATTTTCCTCTATGGCTTGCATCTTGAATTCCATCAAATGCAAACTTGCATCTTTCCAAGCGCCCACTACACTGGTGCAATCCCCTTTGCAATTGCATATTGAGTACCATGTAGGATGCAATCAAATATCATTGATGTGGATGCTTTAATAAATTATTTTTGATGAAACATCAAGATTTTGAGGATTTCCTTCCTCAAACACTTCTAAATTTGGGGATCCGGTTACAAGTGAAGTGAGGGCCTTCAACTGGCCAGTTAAGTCTATGCTAAGTCACGTGTGTGGCTTGATTGAGCCTTGCAAAATGTTCTCCCCTCTTTTGACCAGCCCAGCTTGAAAAAGTGGTTGCTTCTGTTAACCAACTTCTCATACTCTTATTTTCCTACTATTTAGGAAACTAGCTGATTGTTTAATGAGTGTCATGTATTCCCTCTGCCCACCACCAGGGTTTATACTTGCAAGTAGAGAGCATTTTGGCATGTCCGGTTTGCTTCTTATTTTTAATTTCCTGTGGTCATTGTTACTAATTGCAGCAATAATGACTTCTAGTCTGTTATCTACCTATGTCACCATCAGAATATGTTTCTGTGCCCTGACAGAGATATCACTAAACTTAACTGATATGGAGGAGAAAGATAAAGTCTTCACAGAAGCAGGCGAAGATCATATTGCAGAAAAGCCTCCAAGCTTGAGAGAAGCAGAAGGAGATCCTAATCAGAATGTTGAACAGAGTTTGAATTTGACATCACAAGGAGTCGCTGAGGGGGGACAAGAAGACGAGAATACACCAGAAGTAGGAGATAAACAAGGTACATTGAATTGCACATATTATAAAATATTCCCTCTGCCCACCACCAGGGCTTATACTTGCAAGTAGAGAGCACCTTGACATGTCCGGTCGGCTGCTTCTTCTTTTTAATTTGATGTGGGTCACTGTTACTAATTGCAGCAATTATGACTTTTAGAGTGTTATCCTCCTGTTTCACCAATAGAATACATTTCTGTGCCTTGACAGAGAAATTGCCAAACTTAATTGATATGGAGGAGAAAGATAAAGTCTTCACAGAAGCAGGCGAAGATCAAACTGCAGAAAAGCCTCCAATCTTGAGAGAAGCAGAAGGAGATCCTAATCAGAATGTTGAACAGAGTTTGAATATGACATTACAAGGAGCCGCTGAGGGGCAACAAGATGACGAGAATACACCGGAAATGGGAGATAAACAAGGTACATTGAATTGGTATAAATTAGTTGTCTCTTTCTTTTACTGTAGTGAAATTAAACGGTGAGAATCTGATTCCAGTTTGTACTTGGATTCTTGATGTCATTGACAAATTTGTTTTGGTATAAAGCTTTCATTGACTATGCCTCTATTAGTTTGACAGGAGAGAGAAAAAAAAGTTAATGTCTAAGAACTGCAAATTAATTGGCTTTTGAAGCCACTTAAAAGATCAAGAGATTGTATTTGTATGGTCAATGTCATTTTGCAAGGATTTGCAATTTATTTTGGACTATGTTCCCATGTTCCATGAACACTTTGTTGCCCAATAGTTGGCCTGTCATGAGTGAACAAGGAGCACACCTTATGTGTACGATGAGTGACATGGATTGCTGATAATGTCCAGTTGGCTTTGCAGCTCATTCGGACGTGTCAAATATCTTAGGGGTCTATGAGCAACGATGTATTGATCTCTGTTTTTAGAATGTTTGGTTTCTGACAACGCATCGTTTTCCCTTGTTTTAGTTAGGTCTGAAAACCATGCATGTTTCAGGACTCTGTGTTGTTTCCACTTTCCATGATGCATAACCCATGTATTTTAGTAATCTTGGGTAACCTCCTAAACTTCCAAAATTCATGTTTTTTTGGTGGACTCCATAATCTTTTACAATCATTTCAAACTAAACTCTAAATTCTGATGATACATCCATTTTAAAATTCCCACATCCAAAATTACATGGTAACCAAACCACTTACTATTTGTTTTCATACACATTATTCTACACCAGAGTTAAACTAACTGATTTGCATATGGTCTCTACAGTTTGTAATTATGCAAAAGGGAAGTGGGTGGTAGATGACAGCTTGCCTTTATATTCTGGATTTGATTGCAAGCAATGGCTAGCACCAGGGTGGGCCTGTCGGTTGATGCAACGGACTGAATTTTCTTATGAGAAGCTCAGATGGCAACCAAAAGATTGTAAAATGGAGCGGTTCAAAGGAGATGAGTTCTTGAAAAGGTATGATTTCCTTGTGTTTTTTGTACTCTATTCTGCAGATAACAATCAGAATTTTTAGCAGAGTTTTGACCGAGTTTGCTCATCTCTGGATCTGATGTGATGCTGCTAGCTACGGACATCTTATTCTTGCCCAATTGATTTTCCCTTGCTTGATTATTCAAAACATACTAGAATTTGTGCGGGATGATGTCGGGTGTGATTGTAGTTATGATATACTTATTTGATAAGAGACATAACTGTACTGCTTCTTTTTTGTTCCTAAAACAGGATGCAAGGCAAGACTCTAGCTTTTGTTGGAGATTCATTAGGTCGCCAGCAGTTCCAGTCTCTAATGTGTATGATCACTGGAGGGTTAGAAAGGAACGATGTCCTCGATGTCGGAGGTGAGTACGGACTTGCCGTCCCTGAGAATGGCCGTCCAGATGGGTGGGCTTATAGGTTTCCCACCACAAATACCACTGTCCTCTATTACTGGTCTTCTTGCCTCTCTGACGTGGAACGTATCGACCCTGAGGATCCAAACACACACTATGCCATGCACCTCGATCGCCCTCCTGCATTCCTGCGTGAAAATCTGCACAGAATTCACGTCCTAGTTCTAAACACTGGGCACCACTGGAACCGCGGGAAGCTGAGTGCTAATCGGTGGGTCATGCATGTTGGTGGTGTCAAGAATACCAACAAGAGGCTGTCAACCATGGGGGATCTCAAGAATTTCACAATTCACAGTATTGTTAGCTGGGTGAACAGCAAGCTACCGGAGAATCCGCAGCTGCAGGCTTTCTATCGTAGCATATCTCCCAGGCACTTCTCTGGTGGGGAATGGAACACTGGTGGGAGTTGTGACAACACCATACCTATGTCCATAGGGAAGGAAATAGTGGACGAGGAGAGTAAGGATTACAGCGCCTGGCATGCAGTGCAGGGAACCGGGGTCAAGATTCTGGATATAACGTCTTCGTCCAAGCTCAGGGACGAGGGTCATATATCGAGATACAGCCTAACAGCGAAACGAGGTATGCAAGATTGCCTGCATTGGTGTCTGCCTGGTGTTCCTGACTCGTGGAACGAAATCCTTTATGCACAAATCAAATGAAGTGTCGGAAAACGGGTACTTGTAAGTAAGTTTAGTCCACATATTCATACAGGTAGTTTGCTTTGGGAAAGAAGAACCGATCCAAGCTCTTTTTCTAGCCGTGAGAAGAAGATTTGGTTAGTGGGAAATGTGGTCTGTGAATAGTGGATGGCCGGAAGGGAAGATTGAGGAGAAAGAATTGGGTCCGTGAAGGTAATTGTTCTCCCCGATTATGAACTAATGAAGTTAGTTCCATTGTCGATAGACACGGACGGTAATGAACTTTGTAGACACGACTGTACACACGGTGGAGGCATTGATGGGAAAAACCAATCAAGGGCACCTTATAGATACACGGTTAGGGCACAATGTAATTTCCTATCTGTAATATGGGGATAGTTTTATGGAAATTTTGGATTGATGGATTATAATATTTGATTTGATTAGTATATGGCAAGAGGTGGTGCGGTAAAATGTCATCACGTTCAGCCAACGGTTGTGACTTGCAAGTCATGGTGATTTGATGGATGGAAAAAACCATATCAGTAAAAAGGTCGGTCGACTGTTTTCTTCAAGTCATAACCGTTTTTAATATTGTAATGTTTTCGTTATTATCTCTCGAATGAGTTAAAGATATTTAATTACTAGTAGCGTAGTACTGTTTTCGTTATTATACCCGAGTGTGATGATGGAGCTTGATAGTCTACAATCTTCCTACTTTATAATGTCTAATTACCATGTGATTCACATTTTTCTAATGAATTTGAAGGTTGAAAATTCCACAAAGGAATCGAAAGCAAAAGCTAATATTATTGATCAAAGTTGTCTAAATTCGTAGCTATAAGAAGAGCTATTTATAGAGTTCTCAAAATCACAAATCTAACCTTAATAGTTAAAACACAAAGAAAACAATTTGTTACTAAGCAAAGGAAAACACAATACTGAGGAACAACAAACAAAAGAAAAGTCCATAATAAATGATAAACACGCCTATACTAATCCTATACGCGCTAGATAAGCTTTGCAAGCTTCTTGACAACAATACTCCTTCATGTGTTGGGATTTCTTGTTAGAGCAAAGAAGGATTGGGTATCCTTAAGGCCTAATGAACCTCTTGAATGGGTCGTGGGCTTTCTTTGGTAATTTTTGGTTATGCACTTTACATAACTAAATTTGGGCCTTTAACTTTGAGTGAGGTCAGAAGGGTTTAGATTTAAGGGGTGAGAGTTAATGACTTTTTATTTTTCTTAGTTTTATGAATTGACTCTTATCTTCTTCGTTTTTATTTGGATTTTATTTTATTTTTTGCAGAGATAAAATGCATCCGTTGTGATATACAAAATGAGATATATTTTCAATATATTTCAGATGATTTTGTTTTCATACCACTCGTTACCACCTGGTACCACTTTCGTTTTTAACTCTAATTTTGATTTTTTTAAAAGATGGAACTGAGTTCACCATGATTTATTTTATTTACAAATTTACGGACGAAAAAATACATGAACAAACTATACCACTATGGTATAGAGGTAGTAACTGGTGGTAAACAATAATGAATGAGATAAATGACAGTTTGTATATTTCCACTATCATGTATTCAACTATTATACACTCTGGTATGTTCATACCATCATGGTACACTTCCATACCACGTTATATGATCTTATGTAATACCAAACATTATCACTGTGGTATAGACTGGTAATAAATGTATCAATTTTTTGTTCCAAAATATATCAGACTCGATATCATTTTGAAAAGCACAATTAATCTGATTTATATGTGCAAAAAATTAAATTATGACTTAAAAAGAAAAAGATATAGCCTGTTAAAATTTATAGAGAAAATGGTTAGAGACTTTCCACGAATGATGATGTGACAATGATGTGGCAGGTTATGCATGGTTATGCACCCTTAAGTTATGCAAGGCATCCACTCCCACCCTCTTCGTACCGAACCACTTTCTTCTATAACTCTAATTAAGTGCACAAAGAACCTATTAAAACGAAATTTACCCAAATTAGCAAATGAATTCGCCAAATAAGCTTAAACTTGCGTATTGAACTACTTTGTTTGACTTCGTGAATTGACCTTGAATATGAGTTGACCCGACGTCTTCCAACCTGGTGTTGCTTGATCCTTCATACTAAGCTTGTTCGTATTGATGCCATCATCAAGGTCCACTTTACCTCCAAGGTAGAGCTTGAGGCGATGACCATTAACCTTGAAGATGCCTTTCGGTGGGTGTGAGATCTCCACCACACCATAACGGAAAACTTCTGTGACGGTGAAGGGTTCTGACCATCGAGACCGCATCTTCACGGGAAACAGGCGAAGGCAAGATTTGTAGAGGAGAACTCGATCTCCATGATGGAACCCCTTGGTCTCCTTCAAACGAGCTTAATGGAGATGCTTTGTTCCGTCCTTGAATAGTCGGGGTGCTCTCATAAGCATGGTATCTCCATTCTTCAAGCTCCAGAACCTACAACTTCATTTCATTTCTAACCACATTGGGATCAAGGTTAACCAGCTTAATCAAAAGGTCTTATGCTCTAGCTCAACTGAAAAGTGGAAGACAATTCTATATAGTGAAGTACTAGTAGGTGTCTTATACGCCGTACAATAGGCCCATACAACATCATCAAGCTTGGTAGTTTAATCTATTCGAGATTGATCCATCGTCTTTTTCATAACTCACTTAAGTTCCCGGTTAGTCATCTCTACTCGACCACTTGTTTGAGGGTGGTAAGCCATAGACATCTTGTGAGTGACACCAGAGCGCGAGAGAAGCTTCTCGAATTGACCTTGGAAATGGGTGCATTGATTCCTAATGATGGCTCTAGGTGTCCCAACTCAGGGAAAAAGCTATTTAAGAAAGGTAGAAACACACGTAGCATCATTGGTGGCCAAAAGCCCGTGCCTCAGCCCACCTCAAAATATAAACAACCGCTACCAGTATGTATGTATTACCAAAGGATGGAGGAAAGAGAATCGTTAAATTGATACCCCAAAAATAAAATTATCACATACAACAAATACTTTGGGGGCATCTTATTCTGGGAAGAAGTATTACTTGAGTGCTGACAGTGGTCGTACTAACATGAAACAGTCTCAACATCCTTGAAGGGTGTGGGTCAGTAGAAGCCCGACTGTAGCATCTTTCATGTCGTGCGGTTACCTCGGTGATGCCCATCAGTGGGGCCCTAGTGACAGTGGAAGAGTGTGGCCTTTATCTTCACCTCCATGACACATCGATGATCACACCATCAGCTTCGCTTCGCAAATGGTAGTGGTCATCTTAGAAATAGTGGCATAGATCAGAGAAGAATTTCCTCTTCTTTTGAATAGTCATCCCCGTGGACATATGCCTGCCTACCTAGTAATTAGCAAAGTACGAGTACCATGGTGTGACACTCTTTACCAAATAGGCAGATACATCATTAGGAGCTTCTCATCTAGGAATGAGTCATTGATCTAGCCATCTAATTTAATCCACAGAAGGCCCCTCAAGCCTCGATAGATGATTGGCTTCCACGTTCTTCGCTCCCATTCTGTCCTTAATCTCTATGGAAAACTCTTGCAGCAAAAGGATCCACCATATGAGCGGAGGTCTAGCATCATCCTTGCTCATAATTAAGGAATCAGATCGGCGAGTGATCAGTGTAAGTAATGACATGAGATAGGACCATGTAGGACCGAAACTTGTTGAAGGCATACACAATAGCTAGCAACTCCTTCTATGTTATGGTGTAGTTCTCCTAGGCATCATTGAGACTCTTGGACACATAAGAGATTGGAGTAATTACTTGTACCGTTTATGCCAAGGATTGCACCAACCACAAAGTCACTAGCATCACACATCACCTCAATGGGAAGACTCAAGTCCAAAGTCACCATGATGGGTGCATGTGTGAGCTTCTCATTTAGGATCTCAAAAGATGCAGTGCACTCCTCAGAGAAGTGAAGGGTGTCATCCTTCTCCAACAATATTTTTAGTGGAAGGGTGATCTTGGAGTAGTCATGGATGAATCACCAATAAAAACCTGCATGCCCTAGGAAGCTGCGAATGTCCTTAAAAGAAGTATGAGGGGGAAAATTGATAATCGTCTTGATCTTCGCCTAATCCACCTTGATCCCTTTCTTTGAAATCTTGTTCCTGAGCACAATGCTTGAAATGACACTTTTCCCAAGTAAGTGCCAAGTTTGTCTCCTCACAATGTTGTAGTACACGGTCAAAGTTGTAGAGACATTGGCCAAAAGAGTCCTCGAATAGGCATAAGTAATCCATAAAGATCTTAATAAAGTCGTCCACCAGCTTGTCGAATATGGCCACCATGCATCTCCAGAGGGCAGCAGGAGCGTTGCGTAGACCAAAAGGGATGCAACGGTAGGTGAATGTGACAAAGGTACAAGTGAAGGTGTTCGTTGATTGATCTTCCAAATCATTTGCGACCTGAAAACAGTCAGACATCCCATCAAGGAAGTAATAGAAGTTATGAACGATTACTATCTTGAGCATATGATCAATGAATAGAAGTGGAAAGTGAACCTTCATGGTTGATTCTTTCAATCAATGGACACCCTCTCACCCGTCACTGTCATTATAGATATCAACTAGTTTTTCTCATTAGGAATTACTATCATGCCCACCTTGAGTGAGACTCACCCATTCAGTATCCGAGATTGGATAAATGATTTCAGCATCCAGAAGCTTAATTATCTTTGCCTTGACCATCTCCTTCATATGCGAAATTAACCGTCACTAAGGCTGTACCACTATCTTGAAGTTATCTTTCAAGTGAATCTTGTGAGAGCAAAAAGATGAGATGGCACCCTTGATATCTGTAATCTTCTAAGCTAGAGCCCGATTGTGCTTCCTTAGGAGATTTACAAATCTCTTCTTCTGCTCAAGTGTGAGATCTAAGCTTATGATCACCAGGAGCTTGTTCCCCTCAGTCAAGAAAGGATGCTCGAGGTGAAAAGGGATGGGCTTAAACTATATCTCTAGTGGCTCTTCTAGTGAAGTGGTGATCTGGGCAGATTTGGAACCGATTCCACTGGAGGTTCATGCTCTTGTACCGCCACCTCATCCAATGCTTCTAGCTGATCCACCAGCTGCAGCTACTTGGATGGCTATTCACTTAGCATAAGACATTTCTCAAGTGAATCATCAGTGTTGGCACTTGTTATAGACAACGATGTTTCAAAATCATACACTATCACATTGATCTAAATCATCATATGCATGCAAGAATGCTTTATGCTATAGGAAATACAGAAAGTGATTTGGTCATCCCCACCCCTCAACATAAATTTCTCATCATTCACATCAATTAGTACTTTGGTCGTGGCCAAAAAGGGTTTACCTAGATTTAGGGTACATGCACTCAATTACACTTCAAGATTGACCAGTTGCCTCATTAAGAATCGAACCAGCCAATAACCTAGAGCACAAAATCTAGACTCCTCTAATGGGTTTTCACCTATAAGAAGATAAAGTCAATGTAATCAAAACCGAGTCAAATCGATAAAACTAAGACCCTATCATCATTCAGGCTCGAAATATATAAAAAACCAAATGTTTTGAACCGACTGGTTGATTAATAGTTTGAGAAGTTTACCGCATAAACCAACTGACCTATTCTCAACTCTTCAGTCGTTAAAAAAAATTTAAGTTGTGTATAGGGTTCAGACTCTAGATAATCAAAATTTTAGATTCTCATTCTACACCCAACTCACTTGAATAGGTCAAAAGAGAAGAAAGTAGGCAAGCCATAAGAGGTGATCGAGAGACGATTTTTTTTTTTATATGTTGTCATTTTTTCATAGAGATGGAGAGAGTTACAAAGAATGGGGAAAAGAGATAAAAAGGAGGAAGTCGAAGGTTCTTGATGTCCCTTTTCACAGAGATTGGGAGGGTTAGAGAGAAGGGGATAAGAGAACAGAAGAGGCGGTTGAAGAGAAGTAAAACCAAGGTTACGTTAGTTTCTGGTGACAAAGTAGCTTCATAGATTGGTTCTTTGATTTATTATTTTGCCCCAACCAATTTTCTCAATGTACAGCCCTGCCACCTTTCCTCCCTGAAAAAAATAAATATATATTATTTTAATAAATTGATAGATTGGGCTATTATTTTAGGATATTAGTTTGTTAATTTTCGTTGAACATTCATATACATGTAGATTCATAACGCTGGATGTCTTATGTGTAGAATTTTGGAGTTTGAATGTAGGTCTTAGATGGAGCAACTTACGGATTTGGGTGGTTCAGTCGTAGACTTTAGAACTTTTAGTACCCATTGTTTATTAGGCACCAATTCATTAATGGTTTTATAGCGGTCTAACACTGGTTAAACCGTTCGCTGTAAACCGTTTGTTGTGTCGGTTCTTACTCCGGTTTAATTATGGCAACATTGTGTATTATGCATTAATTTTTGTTGTGACATTTTGTGACAATTCACAGCTAGTCATCTGACATGCTGCAGCCAAGAAAGCTACAAACTCGTTTGTTGGGGATATCTTGGAGGAAATTTTCTCTATCTTTTGCGTCTATATCGTGTCTTTTTTCTCATTATTTGAGTCAATATCATGTCTTCTTGCTCATCGGAGTTTCAATAGAGCTACACCCATGTAGTAACAAAACATGCTCTTTCATCAGTAGTTCGGTTGCGTTCGAACTACCAGCAGGTACCCAACATAATCCAACCTGGTCAAAGCGCGTAAAACCGGCGTTGATGGGTTTTGCGTCCAGTGAGGGTAAAGCCCACTTTTGGTATTAGTAGGTTGGGTTGGGTTGGATGCAGGTTTGGCCAAAGCCCAAACCGCTCTTTGAAAGAAAAATGACTTCGTTTAATGTATACGCAAACATGTGAATAATTTATGAATAATATTAGTCTTTTATGACAATATGATTCTAATGATAAAGATAATTATTGATGTTATTAGCCTTCTTAGCAATATAATTATAATTTTTTTTACTAGAATATAAAGATGTGTGTGCTCTGAGGAATTATTCACAATTATATTCGTGAACTCATGGGCAACACAGAGAAAATTGAGATTTTAAGTAAAATAAAAAATAAGGTAATATCGAAATTGTAAGATTTTAACGTTCATATTAAAGTTAACATTTAAAACACCATAGAGTAATATTAATGCATATCCTGAATAACAGTCCACCACATATCACTTAATTACTTCTCAACATAGGTTATATGCTAAGAAACACAAAGAACCTTATAAATTTGTACTTGTACATGACAAACACACAAATAAGCAACCTGAAACCTAGACTTGGCAATCGAATCAGGTTGGATAATTTCGGGTTGGGGATCTCACGTTACGGGTCATCATGGGCCTGACCATGTTTGGTTTGGCTAATTTTGGATCAAATATTCATCCAACCCAAAAATTTTGGGTCGGTTTACGGTCATTTCGAGTTACGAACATTCATAGAAACAAGAATAAAAAGTTTTCATATTTTTTTAAAACAACACAAATTTTCGTATACGTATGCGTAACACATGTCAATTTACATATTCTCAAACTCTCA